GGCTAATGTCGTTTTCGTTTTTGCTACACTACACCGATGTAGTATAAACAGCAATAAGCGCGAATAATTGACAGCACATCATCATTTTTTCATAAACAAAGGTGCAACCGATAGCAACTATAGTTACTATATTCATAGTCTGGCGGATAGAATCTCGGGAACCAATTGAGCTGTCAAATAGCGGAACCAATAGAGCAAATCACGACCAACAACAGAAAAGAGCACATCAGCTATTGCGAACAAAACTTCGGAAACTCTTTTCCCGTGACTCAAGGCTCGCCTACGCAAACTAACAACATCTTTGGGTTAGGGAAAGTTTCCCCTATCAGATGATGCTGGTAATTTGCGTTCGATTGACGAGGAAAGAATAATCAACGTTTTGTTTAAAAAGTTGGTAGTACCTTTTTAACTGTTGGTCTACAATATATTGAATAGAGATTAGTGAAGTTTAACGCACGCACACTAGCGGGAGCATCGCCGTGTAAAGTTGTTTATTATTTTACTCTGGTTAACCTAGAAAATCTATGAAATTTGATTTGTCAAAATAAGTTTGACAGTGATTTGTTATGTATTTCCGCTCTCACATATCGCACCGGAACCTCAATTGGTTCCGCTTTTTATTAGATCGAAATTCTATTCGCCAGACTATATATATTAGACTGATGCAAAATTTGAAATTTTTGCTCCACTGTGCTCAAACGGTTTCAAATCAGGTCCTGATAAGCCTTCCAAAATTTAAACTCATTCGGTAAGAAACTGACTTGGCACAAACTATTCGAAGTTTGTATGGAAATTACTATGGGAAAACCAAACTTTTTGTTTATTGTCTTCTACCCATTTTCCATATTGCTTTTTTGAAAATTTCTATAAGTATTCTTACGGGAAATTTTCTAAACTACAACTTTGCGGAATATTGTTTTTCAGCCAAACGTCACATTAAATTGTTATTAATTGTTTAAGAGATTGATAATCTTATGGCAAGTTTAAGCAACTGTGTTGTGAGCAACACTGTATTCTGCAGTGTGACATAGTAGCCATGATATTTGTGCTCTATTCTTCGCACCAGAAACACCAATGTTGCCTGCTGAACAGTTGAATGAGCATAATCATAAGACTTCAGTGACTTGAATCATTCATAACTTTTGTTCCTTACATTTGATTGAAAAGTGGTTTTCAACAAAGTTGTAGCTGAGACAATTTGCTGCAATTATTGCTGTAATTTTGTTGTAATTGTAAGTGATGTGGTGAATCGTTAAATAGATATGAACAAAAACATAAGTTTTCCCATAGTAATTCCCATATAAACTTGAAATGGTTTGTGCCAAGTCAGTTTCTTACTTAAGGAGTTCAAATTTTGGGAGGCTAAGCAGGACCCAATTTGGAACCGTTTAAGCATTGTGGAGCAAAAATTTCAAATTTTGCATCAGTCTAATATATATATAGCGACTATAATAGCTACACCCTGAATTTTTCCGGTGTTCGGCGGTGTAGCAAGACCGCAAAAACGAAAACGACATAAGTGACGTCGTCACTTGAGTGCTCAACAATGTTTACAATATGTTTGCTTCTAACACCAGCAAGCTGCCTATTGGCCCAGACCTTATATAAACGTCATTGATAGAATTCTCCTCTGAATTCGCGTGGAATTTTCCCTAGAGTTCCATGGAAATCCTCATCAAATTAATTCATTAATGTCCATTAGCTTAGCTTGCATATCTTTTGCATTCCCTCAGGGGCTGTCCATAAACTTTGTAGACAGTTTAGGGGGGGCTTGACAATTATCCACGGACCATACAAATTTTAAAAATTTTGTATGGACAATTGTCTACGCAGGGGGAGGGGGGGGGGGTCAAGAATACCAAAAAAACTGTCTACGTAGTTTATGAACAGGCCCTCATTAAAAAAAAAAGACAATTAAAGTTTCAGAACGGATGTTGTTACTGAAGGTCTTATTTTTAAGAATTATACGGAGGCGAACCAGCCTAAGGCTGAAAGCCTCCTAAATAAAGCTAAATTAATTAATTTTTAAGAATTGCTGTTGCTGGATATGAGATTTTCTAAATTTCCTGAGAATTACAAAATAAAATTCCCTGTGGGTTCACGGTTTTCCAAGGACACCCTGCTAGTTTAAAAATAGTTTCATGAGAATTCCTAAGACATTTGAGGGGATTGCAAGGAGTTTCTTGGAGGGCTTGGCATGACATTTTGAGCATATTTCTAAAGACAATTTGAGCAGAGTTCCTGGAGATTCTGAAGAAATTTCCGAAACGAATTCTAATGAGAGGTTCAAGATAATTCCAAGAATTCCTAAGCATTTTGAGAAGAATTTCAAGCAAATGTTGGGAGAGTACTTTTCCAAATTCTAAATGGCATACAAAAAAATTAACGAACAAAACTCCAAGCGATTTGTAAATAAATGTATGGGAGAAAATATAGCAAATTTTCGCGATTACTGGAGTCGCTTTTGCCGCGTGATTTCCGAAATCCGCGTAAAAAACCGTGCAAAAAAAAAACGCGTAAAAAGCGACTCCAGTGTTTGTCCGTGTCAACATTTCAAAGGATCGTAATTGCTTTTGAGGGCAATGGCTTAAGCAGTAGATTTCTCGTGGATTAAAGCCTACCACTCCATATTAACAATGCTAGCTTGTAGAGGAATCCTTCCTCTACCTGTTGGTATCATAAATTTTCATATCTAAGTTTTTATTTACGAATAATCGACGTGTAAAGCCTTTGCTTACAAAAGCAATTACGTCCCTTTGAAATGATGACACTGATGTGTACTTTTATATTCAAGAAATCGACATTTTAAATGGTGAAACTGCTCTTTAAAATTATGAGGATTTAAGTCATTTAAAAAAAGTATCGTAATGTTTGTTGGTTTATTCTTGTTAGATTGCTAAAACAAAGTCACCGAATGAGCTTGGCAAACTGCAGAGTTGTAAACAATGCAATTCTAGATAGAGCTGGAATTAGGGCCTAACAGCTTTTGTAAACAATTACTTATCGTCTAGAAATTCAAGGCTCGCCCACGCAAACCAACATCCTCATCGGGTAGGGAAAGACTTCCACTATCCGATGGTTATGTTGGTCTGCGTGGGCATGCCTTGAGCTCCCAGAAATCATCGATAGAAGCCATTGTTTACAAAAGTTGTTACGCCCTAATTCCAGATCAATCTAGAATTGAACGTAACTGGTAGCTCGCCCAGGCATAGTAACACCACTATCAGGTAGGAGAAAAATTCCCCTATCTGAGGGTAGGGCTGTGACGATATCGATAAATAGCAATATCAACGATAATCGAAATTAGATATCGGTTTGACGACAGTTGAAGGATCTGGTAGCGAAGAATATGTTCGTGATGAGCCAACGAGAAAGATCTCTACCGCTAATTTGGTATGGAGTCATCACGAGGTAATAATTCAACGCAATAATAACTGAAGGATAACCAAGTGGACGGCTTTGATTAGAAATTGATATAGAACTCCAGGTGGATCTGAAACTACTGTCAAATATTACAATCTCGGTCTCTTGGAACCGTTTGTTTTCAAAAACACGGCGAATTTTGAGCGATGTAGCCTCGAAGAGCGGATAAAATATTTTTGTTTGTGTAATGTCTACGTTTTTGATTTTCCACATGCATTTTGAAGTTGGAAGAGAATGAAATATCACAGACAAACAGACATAACACATTGAATATTTCTCACTGTAAAACATCGTCGCTAAAACATTACCGCCATCTGTTGAGTACACTGTGGTGGGCACTACGCTGAACAGATGGCGTAGTCTGTAAACGTCAAACGCAAGGGAATTGACTATGCGCGCCACAGGTGGCGGTACTACCAACTACGATACTTTTAAATTGTCCGTTAAATGCTTGTTGGACGAACAACTTTCGAGTGTTATGTCTGTTTGTCTGTGGAAATATGTTTAATGTCTTTTTCATTGATTATTGGTTTATTATTGATTATCCGATATTGATATCGGAGCCGAGATATCGATATTCCAAATCCGATATCGAAATAATATCGATATTTTCAGAGACTGCTATCGATATTATTGCTAAATACGCCCTCGGCACAGCACTATCTGAGGGTAGTGTTGGAATGCGTGGGCGAGCTATCAGTTACGTCAAATTGACAATCAAATGCATTGTTTACAAAAGCTGATACATCCTTTCGAAAAAGTAATCGAGAATAAAGTTTTAGGTATGTAAATTTCGATCCCTTTTTCAATTTTGAATGTAACATAACTTCAATATCCCTGCAAAAATTCAATGATTGGCCTGATAAAAAGTACAACCGTTGTATACAACTTTTTTTTTTTGTCCTGAAAAGGGTTCATCCACCAGGATTACGCTTGATTGAATACATTGCAATTAATACAGATACTAAATAAATTTGTTTTTCTTAATAAGCATCAAAACAAGACTTTCTACCGCAGTTTGCCTCACTACTGGCAACCACGCCGCACGCCAATCATCACTCTCCCGCTACCGTACAAAAACTCTCTCCCTAACACCACCAAAACCAGTTCCGGCTCTCCGCACTTGCAGAAGGCTCTCTCAGCTTCGGGACTCAGCCCCGGCCCTCATCATCATCGTCGTCATCTACCAACAGTAAAAATGACAGCTTTTTGACGTTTCCTTCTTCGTGGCCTCCTCTGCTATGACTAATCCATCGATCGTGCCCAGCCACAGTGATCCTGCCCGCAGCCTACTCTTCTTTGTACTGCTTCACCAAATCGCCTACGATCAAAAATCATCAAGCTTTTGAACTTCTTCCTTGCACTTCGTTTTCGTCTTCCACTTCATCTTTTGCCTAATCTCCTCCAACAGCATTCCTTCTGTTCTTATTCTTCACGGCACCAACACACAGAAGTCCAAATATTCTCGTACAGCAAGGCACATTTCCCAGCTTTTCGCTCGCCTTTGCCACACTTTAATATATCATATTCTTCGTCTTCTTCCTGGCTGTTAGACGAAGATCTACTAGGAAATCAACTTACATGAGAAGAACAAAAACCCTTCCAATGAGGCTACTCCGCTGAACAAAGTAGGAACCAACTCGGCTGCTTTTCTATCTCGACAAAAACCGCACACATCAAAGCACATCAGGCAAAGGAGCCAAGAATGAGATCACATAACTTATTTTTTCTTCAAAATTAAAACAGAACACTTGCACAAAACTTGCCTCTACTGGAGAAGGCGAATCAAGCTGGAAACTTTCCTCTCGACGTTATCGAGGCAGCGAAAAAAGTGATATTTTCCGTTCCACACTCACACTCGTTCAACAATGCACAGAAAAATGCGATCCTTTCTTGCACTTTAACCAAACAAAAAATACCGGAGCGTGAAAAACGCGTTCTTTTCCCGTGTTTCGAACACTGGGAATCGGACAAAGTAGGCGGATGGAACAGAAAAAATGTTCTACAGCTCGACGTGCGTTGGACAAAACTATACACGAACGAACGACGACCGCGGATGTAATGAAACGAATGATGTTGTTAGCTCCGTGACTCTTCTCGCTTGCTGCTCACGACTCACTGGCTGTTCTGTTTTGTGTGTGGAGTGGAGCGGACTTTCTGCTACTCACGGACATTCCTACGCCGACGAGACGTTGGCGGTGAACGGTGATACAAGAAAAAGTTGACTTTTCGCCGCAGCGACGGACGATGAGTGATGACTCGATTCGAAACTTGTGAGAGATTCCCACACACGTTCACATTCATTGTCTCACTTTTTTGCAGTGATGCCACAATTATTTACAGGTTTTCCATAATTCTACATACCTACAAAAAATATTTTATCTGTTCCAACATAGAGATTCCCAAAACACACCAGCTGTAAAAAAATCATTTTTCTCAGGGATGTTGTACTATAGCATCCCAAATAAAAAATGGTCGGTAACTCAAATAATAAAACTATTCCACAAATGGTTTGGATGATACCTGGAATACGTCGTTAAGCAAAACAACCATAACAATTTAATTAAGGATGTTTTATAACTGCAATCTGAACGATAAGCATAATAAATAAGTGAAACCTTAAAATATTTGAGTAGTTATTTTAAAGTTTTACCGCTGCGGTAATGAGGATGTCACAGCAAAGAATCGCCAGCAAAAATACTTCAAGTTTGTCAATGCACACTTTATTTTTTTAGTATTCAGCTCATTATCATACAGGCGGTAGAACGTTGACTGCTGCAGTCAACGTTCTACCGCCTGTATGATAATGAGCTGAATACTAAAAAAACAAAGTGTGCATTGACAAACTTGAAGTATTTTTGCTGGCGATTCTTTGCTGTGACATCCTCATTCTAGGAACTAAAGAGGCTGAATTTGTAAAGAGACGACATGTTAAAATTGGAACAATCGATTATCTGTCAAAGTTATAGGAAAAGTTATTCCAATCGAGCAGAAGACCTGTCAAAAGGATAAGATGTCACCTCTTTACCCAATTCAGTCTCTTTACTACACAGCAAAAAATAAAATGTAATATCGATCAACGTAATTCAAGCACATGTATGAAATTATGATGTAATAGCAAACAGCAGATACAATATTACATCAATAGATGTAATTTTGTTCGCAAAATCGATGTACATCGTACAACGTAATATTACACAACCGACGGAATGACCTCTGTGCAGCTGTTTGGATGTAATATTCAACAACTTTTTTTTTTTGTGAAGGAACCACTTCGAAACATAAAAAATGCACAAATCAAGCTGAACATTGCATTAGGACCTAAGTAAAATTGATCGATTCTCTTCGTCGACGTTCTCTTTCGTTATTAACTTGAGCACATAACCGTTTCTTGTTGTGTTTGTCGTATTAGATGCTAGATAAAAGCTTATTTTATCGATCTATGTGCTGAAAATACCTGGGAATGTCTTTACATGGCCGTAGGGATACAAAGAGAAAGTCGACGAAGAGAATCTGTCCATGTTACTTAGGACCTATTGCAATGTTCAGCTAATATAAACTTCTACGACACGGCAACATTCAAATTGTTACTCCACGTTTGCTGCACTGCAGCTTCAGGTGAAATTGGGCACTGATTTCCGAGATTTTTGTGTAATTGAAAATTCAAAGTGTTTTTTTTTTAATTCTTTATTTTAGTGCATGTGTAGCCTACGTAGCGGCCATTTGAGGCCTCAACAAGAAATTACTTCTTTTTTTTTGGATTTGTCTTTTTCAGACAGGCCATGACTGGTATATCTCGCCAAGGAATCACCTTAAAACCTTGTGTATTTGAAAGCTGCGGTGGAACTTCTTCTTCTTTTTAGAATTAAACCGTAAAACGGAAATAAATCTGTAGAGTTCTCCAGATGCACAAAAGTGTGCGTGAGACCGCGCGCTACCTTTTTAAGTAGTTGTGATATCGCGATACCTTTTTGTTTCTTCTTTTTCTTTATTTTTATGTATGGATGTTGGATTTTAGTGTTCGTGAGATTGCGCTTGGAGATCTCTATAGAAGAGCAATAAAAATTCAGATGTAGAGGAATTCATATTTGGCAACACTGCTTCGTTAACGGGTTGTACACACACCAATATATCATTCATGAAAACTGCAAGAATTATTTGGAGTTCGTGCTACACATCTACACGGTAACATGAGTAAACCCATTAATGAGTAAAAAATATCATACGATAAGAAAAAAATCCTACACTGCCGATGAGACCAACTCAAAATTAAGTCGGATTTCACTCAAAATTGTAAAAAGTGAGGTTACATGCTGCCATGAGTTCTTTTTACTTAATATTGAGTTCAGCCTCTCACTTGCACTCTTTAAAGTTGTCAAAAAAGGAACGAAAGATTCGACCAAACGATATAGTTCAGCCCAATAAGTTACTTTTGAGCAAATTGCATATTCTCAAATTGACGTGAAGTAAACTTAATTTTGGATAGAATATACTTAAATGTATGAGGTTTTTTTTGCTGGTGTTAAATGGAAACTACTGTATTCGATTTACTCAAATTTGGGTTATTGGGCTGAACCCCGGAATTAAGGGAAAAGTTCTTAATTTTGGGTAGTTTTTCATCTCCGTGTACGTTAAAATAAGTCACCTACACTCTATTTCAGTGCTACTCAGTGACTGAGTAGAATTTTATTAAACTCTCTTTTTCTCTCACGAAAATCGTACTCAGTTCTGGTTCAAAAGGGAACTGAATAAACTGAGTAGAATTTCCGCGAGACAAAAAGACAAGTGGACCCTACACGATTGTTTTTATTGACAATAATCGTATTGTCAATACATTCTATATTGACGTCGATACATCGGTATTGACAATAATTCTGTATTTACATCATCAATATAATTGTCAATAATTCCCCTCCGCGTCAATATATTGATACATGTGGGGTTCGCTAAAGGGCAATAAGTTATACTCAGTCACTGAGTAGAATAGAAATAGAGTGTAATAAAAAAAACAAACGAATTATAACCCAAATGATAGAACTGCCGTCGTTAAGCAAAATCTTCTTTATTCCTTTATTTAACGTCGGTCTCTGTTCCGCAATCTAGTGCCAATAACCGACGGACATCGATTGCCATCCATTGACAGCAATCGAGTGTGCCGAAAGGCAGCTGCGTACACTGAAACAAATCGACATGTACCGTTTATTGGATCCATCTTATAACATAGCAATGTCAGCAGATTTATTCATTCTATGTGATGATTGATAGATTCCATTGGATTATCACTTAAAAACTATGACTGCGATATGGAATGATTTCTATCGTAATTTCACATACTTAGTACTTGATAATACTTTGCTTCGAACGTGGTTAGCGAAGGTAAGAAGTATATGAATATTGTCTGATATATTTCATGGTGAAAAACTGTTGATATGTCATGGGTGGGAACAGACATCTAGAAACTAATGGAAAATCATATATATCATATTCATCATGAAAACAGGTATATTTTACTGAATTTTCTCATAGTGCAAAATTCAGTAAAATATACCTGTTTTCATGATGAATATTGCTCACTAAAATATATATCTTATAAGATAATCATGTATATTTTATTGGAGTTGCTTTTACTGATTTTTGACGTTTGTTGATATGTCGCGTCTGTCATTTAACTTTGCAGTATAGGAAAACATTTATATATCATTGTAATAGCTTGCTTTGATTTTTGACGTTTAAAGATTGTAAACAGATCTATCCCAATCATTAAATAGTCATATAGAAATGCCTTTTAAGAAATCCAACAGCAAGCATTTGTTTTGGCATGTTTTTCTGGGATGAATATCGCTCCCAATAAAATACATCTTACATGATTGTTCTTTATAAATTATTGAAACAATTTTCAACGATTCATATGATAATTGGTTCCAGAAAAGAATGTATTGAGATTGAAAAAAAAATGATTCTACTGTAATATTTACTTTGCTATGATCCTAATTGTAAGCCTTCTACACGGCTAATTCAGATTCCAGCCCTAAGTAGTACTCGAACTTCATGAGCCAGTTCTATCAAATCATATAATTTAGTCGTTGATTTATTGCACACAGGTGCATTAAGAAAGATTTGAACAAACCACACCACCGAAACGGAACATAAATTTGTCAGTGCTATTTGTCTTCACTCTAGCAAAACGAGCATAAAATTGCACTACATTCCATGTCGGGAGAGCTGTTCTTACTTCATGCTATTTGAACGAGCTCAATCTTGAAGTCAGCCGTGGCCCAGTGGAATCGAGCACAGACACCGAAAGCATCACACCTCAACAGATCTTGATCGAATCCCAAATCAGCTACAATAAAAAAAAGGCACAACTGTGAAAGCTCCTACTGCCTGATGTTTATTTTTCGAATTTATTTTTAGAAATCGATTAAATATATGTGTCAAAAGAAGAAGTAAATTTCATGTTATTTTCACATAAACTTTACTTCGATTGATTTATGACACATATATTATATTGTGGTGAAAAGTATAGCTTATGCTTATGTGTGTGTGTGTGTGTCATCCTCTATCCCTCACCCAGCCGGGGGCGTTGGACAAGTAGAACTGCGAATAATTTGATCAAATCTCATGCTCCGTAATGGTGCCCTTTATGTTGTGAAGACTAGTACTTCAAAAAGGGTAACTTTTGAGGCAAGACAGGGTGTCCTCAACAAGTTAAGGGAACAGGATGCACTAAATGTCCACAACAGGTACAGCAAAACATCACATAGACGCCCTTATTCACACTAACTACTCAGGGGGTAGAAGGTCAAGAAGAGCCACCATCGCCAACTAAAGCTTGAACCGGGTACCTGGGACTCCCACGATATACCCGCGGCAATGGTCAGCAGACGATGCCCTGTGCGTATTTAGTATGTAATATGTTTTATTTGGATACACAAAATGTTTGAAGCCATGCGTCATCTAAACCATAATTTGCATCACCACAAATACACTTGTCAACAATCTTCAACTGGAACGTTCTCACCAAATCACTTCACCCGGGAGCGCATTCCCGATGCTTCCACGCATATTTTTTTTCCCTCTACCACACAACAACCAAATATCACTTTTCTTCA